GGGCATGGGGCTGGCACATTGGCAGCGACCAAAGGGAACATAAAATATTTCTAAAAAACACATAAATAAATAAATAAATAAAATAAGTTTACATGCCCAAGTTATTGGTAGTCTATGGTCTGCTCTGCTGGTATTTGAAGCTAAAATTAATTAAGTTGATGCACGTAAAATGGAAAATCTTAACGCATAATTAATTAAGTTTTAGTTATTATAAACTTGATAAATTAATTTATTTAATATTTTAAATCAACTAAAGTTTTCGCACAGAACACTTCGTTTAGTATTTTAAAAAGCGTGCTAACAGAAATCGAGAGAAAATCTATATATTCAAAGTACTATCTATGTTTTTTTTTAGAAAATTCCATATGTACCTTGAAAGTAGTTTATCCAATTTCTTTTATGCCCCTGAGATTTGCTTATTTCCTTCCATACCCTTAATTTCAGTTTAGATCATTTCTATACCCCTTTCATTAATTGACCGTTAAATTCATATCATATTTGCCCTTTGGTATTAAGAAAATAAAATTTATTGTATACGACTATTATATATAAGTTTATTTTGTGAGATATTATTTAGTAAAAATAATATTTTATTTTCACCTCCGTGAAGGCAAAACAAAAAATAATTTTTTTACCATTAAAAACTATATATATATATATATTGTTATAGTAGTACGGCATTTTTTATAACATAAATCTATTTATGTGCTAAATAAGTACTTTTTAATAACTAATAAATAAATTTTATTTTTATGTCATATCTAAAAATAAATTATCATAAATATTATTTATGAATTTTGTTATGCAAGATATTATTTATGATATTTTATTTTTGTTATGTGAGATAAAATTTATTTTTGTTAAATAATATCTCACAAAATAAACTAAATATAATAGTCGCATACAATAAATTTATACAATCCATCGGTATACTTCATAAATTTATATTATCTTGACACCAAAGAGCGAAATAGACTTTATAATAAGAATTTAACGGTCAACAAACGGAAGGGGTATAAAATATCCAACTGAAAATTAGGGATATGGAAGGGAATGAGTAAATATCAAGGGTATAAAAGGGATTGGACGAACTTCAGGAGTACATATGGAATTTTTCTCATGTTTTTTATATAAGACGTCATTGATATTTCGCATAATGTTTTTATTATTTCTCTTATTCAAAAATTTAATACAAATAAATATAAGTTAACGTTATAGTTTATTTAATGATAAAATAAGTCACAAAAATGTAAATAATATTTATATAAACTTTTAGTAAAATGAATGGTCAAATATCATGTTTGAAAGTGAACAACATCACAATATAGCCTTAGTGGTTTTTTTTAGAACCATCTTTTAAAGCCTGGTAAAAATTGCAATTTCTTAAAAGTCCAAATATACGCATACACTTTTTATATGTATAATCTATATTGTTTTGAAAAAAAATCGATTGTATGAAAGACAAATACACTCAGTTATCACACATACCACAATTACCCACTCATAAGTCGCGATAGGAAAATTATTCTCTCCGTTTTTAAATTACTAGCAGCGGGTATTATTCAGTTTAAATTTTGAATACTCATATTTTACGTAGAGGATTTACAAATGCTAAAAGATGCCATGTTATTAAAGTGCGAGCTTGATTAAATTTATATGGTAAAATCAAAATTATAAGTTATTTGAAAACATATGGACTACACGAATTCTCTCACAAAATCAGCAAACGAGCCTGCGACCCTGTCACCCTAGTATGAATATTTCTGGCAAGCTGGTGTGCACGTTCCTCGGTTTTGGATCGTGCCCTGCCACGACTCACGAGAGATTGGAAAATAGTTTGGACGCACGTCGAAGGTTAGCCTAATGAACAAGTCTATTTGGTGTCCCTCCTCTTTTACCTTGATTAAATTGCATTCATCAACTGCAAAAACCGGGTATAACACCACCCTAACTTCAAAAACCGGTGTAAATTGACTCCTTCGATGATTTGGAAGCGGTTTCAGTTGATGTGGCAGGTTGATTTGGTCCAAGTGTGATGGCGTGGTAGCTCAGTCATCAAAGTAGCTGAAAATAGAGCTGAATGCCACATGTAAGTGACATGGTACAAGTAAAAAATGGTGGGGCCCACTTATCAACCACTTCTTCCTCCCTTCAATCTCTATCTCTTCGATTTGAGGTTGGACAGAGAAGTAGCCAAGAGCTCTCGGATGGCGCAAACCTCGATGGGGAGACCGGAACTCATCTTGGATGTAGCGGTAGCCCGATTGTGACGGTTGTCGATGTAGCCACCATGGGCGAGAAGGATGTAGCCATGGCTGCCGTTGTGCATGGCGGGGGCTATGGTGCTCGATCGATCAGTCCACAAAAGAAGTACACAGTTACCACTGTGCAAATGTAACTTACACCATTATTACTTCATTCGACTTAATCAATCGGAAAAGGAAAAGGGTAAAGGGAAAAAAGAGCCGGTCTTGTCCCGTATGATGTAACGGTCACTACTCACCTGTACACCACTCCACTCACTGTTTGTGCTTTTCCTACCCTACCACTTGCTAACCATAGTTGGAGCTTGTGGCCACAGGATCCAACACATTAGAGGTTGGGGAAAAAAGCTTGGAAGCAAGGAAGAGCATGCCGACGACGTAGAGGAATAGAGATGGAGAGGAAGATGACAACAATGATGACGATAACGACACTCTAAAACTTATAGACACGTGGTGGGTGAATTTGCCGGCTTCGATCTCATGGCTGCCAGATATGATAGTGGTGAGCGGTGGCCGTGGATTGAAGCAGCTAGAGGAGGGGAAAACGATAAAGGCGGCTAACGATGATGATGATTTGTGGGTGCTTGAGTGAACAAATGAAACAAGAAGATGATGGGAAGCATCAACCCGATGTTACGCTGCCCCTGCACCTGCTTGTCCCTCATCCCTCACCTATACCAATTTGTCCTCGTGTTTTTTGCGTTTCTCTCAAGCCTAGCTATGGAACTTATTTTGCACGAGCGGTACAACCTCTAGTGCACATATAGATACCTAAACAATCAGTCAATCACCGTGTCATATCCCCTTATACAAACCACCCTCCATCTAGGTAAATACACACTCCTGAAGATGCACTTAAACCCCCTAGTGGGTTTTGGTGATTAATGACAAGGTGGTTAAAGGGGACTAACGTGTTTATCAAGTTTATACACAGGAGTTTAGTCCCAAAGCATGTTGTGATGGCTAAGAATGCAAGGAGACCCCCCAATTTGAATGATCCTAAGTATGAAAAGGATCGAAGGTGATTAGACTAGGTTTTACACTTTCAAAATTGAGTTTAGGAAAAACCGTACTATTAAGAGGGGTTTCAAGTGTGGTTCTAGGGTATACAAAGTGCTCTTAGTCATATCCATGAGTCTAAAGTTTTTTTTGGATTCTTTTTTTGGAAATGTTTTTCCCCGGGACAGAGAGGCCTACCCGGAGGTTCTGGCTGGAACCTCCGGGCACCAAAGTTTATTTTTCCCCGGGACAGAGAGGCCTACCCGGAGGTTCTGGCCAGAACCTCCGGACACCAAAGTTTATTTTTCTCCCCGGGATAGAGAGGGTTACCCGGAGGTTCTGGCCGGAACTTCCGGGCACCAAAGTGTTGGGAGAATTTCTCTAAGTGTTGCCCGGAAGTTCCTGGCACTTTTGCCCAGAACCTCCTGGCAGGTTTCCAGTTCAAACTTGTGAGTAACGGCTAGATGACGTCACCTAGCCGTTATATATATGGATTTCGTCCCCAGGTCACCCTTTGGCCATTTCCACTTTAGCTCTTTCTGTTCTAGGGTTTTCTATCCACTCCCAAGCTTTCTTTGCTTCCTCCATTCAAATCTAGAGCCTATCTTGTGAGATTGAGAGATTAGATGAGAGTGTAGGAGTGTTTTGGAGATGGCTTGAAGATTAGGTTTGCTTGAGCACTTTGGATACCTTGTGGGCTGTCACTTGGGCTTATTACTCTTGGAGATCTTCTCCTAGACGGTTAGGTGTCGCCCGTGAGCTTCCAAAGATCTTGTGGATGTCCGGGAAAGTTTGTGAAGGTTTTCCTCACCTCCGCAAGGAAACGAGGTAAGTGAGTAAAGATTCTTGTGCTGAGTTTTCAGAGGTTGTCCTAGGTAGAGCAACTTGCACTTGTGGTCTTTTCTAGAAGGACTTGTGAGTTGGATCTTGGTGGTCACTCAATTCTAAAAAACGACCTAGAAGTGTTGAGTTGAAGGCTGTGGACTTCTTCTGGGATCTTTGCATAAGTGAGGCAAGGGGTTAATCGAGACCCGGCTCTTTGAGCACCTCAACGGAGAGTAGGATCCGTGTGATCCGAACTTCGGGAAAAAATCGCCTTTATCTCTCTTGTGCATGATCTGTGTTTGAATCTGCTGGTATCTTGTGATTTACATCTTGTGCAACTCTGTGCGTGATCGTCTCTAGCTAGGACCTGTTTTACTTCCCTTATTTCGATTTTCTATGTTGCCCAGAAGTTCCTGGCTCAAGAACTCCAGAAGTTCCAGGCTTCTTATCACTGCCAGGAAGTTCCGGTGTTCTTCACCAGGAGGTTCCGGGCCCTGTTAATTTAACCGCTGCGATTGTTGAGAAAATTTCAGGAAAGCCTGTTCACCCCCCCTCTAGACTACATCTCTGCATGTTCAATTGGTATCATAGCAGGTTGCTCTTGATTTAAGCTTCACCGCTTTGAGTGATCCACGATGTCGGACTTAGGAGGAAAGAACGGGGAAAATGGGAATGAAGATGAAGCAAGCAGCAAGGGAATTCCACCACCCAAGGGAGCTACTATACCTTTTGATTACAACAAACTTACTATTCCCTCTCACAACCTTGTCTCCGTGCCTTCCGGGCGTGCTCCTCAATTTGATGGGACATATTATGCCACTTGGAAGCACAAGATGAAGTTGCATCTAATCTCTTTGCATCTAAGTATTTGGAAAGTTGTTTGTACATGTATTGATATACCCCCATGATGACATGGAGCTCACGTCGGAGCAAGAACAACTCATCCACCGCAATGCTCAAGCTTCCAAGGCAATTCTCTCTGCCTTGAGTCCGGAGGAGTTCAACAAGGTTGATGGACTTGAGGAAGCCAAGGAGATATGGGATACTTTGCAATTGGCTCATGAGGGATCACCCGCCGTTCGTGAGGCCAAGATTGAATTATTGGAAGGAAGGCTTGGAAGATTTGTGATGGATGACAAGGAGACACCACAAGAGATGTATGATAGGATGATGATTCTTGTCAACAAGATTAAAGGACTTGGGAGTGAGGACATGACAAATCACTTTGTAGTCAAGAGACTTCTCCGTGCATTTGGTCCAAGAAATCCCACTCTTGTATCAATGATACGGGAAAGGAAAGACTTCAAGAGACTCACCCCAAATGACATTCTTGGAAGCATTGTGTCTCATGAGATGCAAGAAGAGGAAGCTCGTGAAGTGAGGCAAATGGTGAAGAATGCGCCCATGATCAAAAATCAAGAAGTTGCTTTGAAGGCAAACCAAGAAGAAGAGTCAAGTTGTGAAGAAAGTGAAGATGAAGAACTGGCTTTTATTGTCAAGAGATTCAAACACTTTCTTCGCAAGAGTGGCTATGGCAAAGGGAGGAAGGATGATGACAAGGGAAAGAGGCAATCAAAGAGAGCGTGCTTCAATTGTGGCGAATATGGCCATTTCATTGCCGATTGTCCCAGGTCAAATGAAGCTAAGGCTAAGGGAGGCAAGAAGAAGCCGAAGCGTGCTCATGTGGCGGAGGCACACATGGCGGAAGTGTGGTACTCCGGAGATGAAGAATATCCCGAAGTCAAGCCCAAGCCCAAGTCAAAAGACAAGGTTGAAGGAGAAGGTGGTGTTGCTACTATCGCCTTCAAGTCATCCTCTTCAAGCAAGGAGCGTCTCTTCAACAACTTGAGTGATGACGACGACGACTCCTACCACTACTCTTGCTTCATGGCCCAAGGCCGCAAGGTGATGACTCAAAAGCCCTCTCACACTTCTCTTGATGTTGATTCTAGTGATGAGGAAAGTGATAATGAATTAGATGATGTGCTTAAGAGCCTTAGCAAACCCACTATGCAACATTTGGCTAAGTTAATGAGAGCTTTGGATAGTAAAGAACAATCACTCGAAAGGCAAGAAGAATTGCTTATTCTTGAGAAGAAAAGAAACCTTGACTTAGAGGAGAGCTTAGCTAAAGAATGTGCTAAAAATGAACAACTAGCTAATGATCTTAATTTGGCTAATGGTTCTTTAGCTAGCCTTAGAGATGTCAATGAGACTCTTCAAGAGAAATTTGCTTGTTTAGACAAAAGTCATAAAGATCTTGAAGTTCAATTTGACACTCTTTGGAATAGTACCTCTCAACCAAATGTGGTTTCTAATTCTTCTAACCCTTCTACTAGCAATGGTTGTGTTAGGTGTTACAATATTTATTTGAACTCTTATGCTACTAATATTGATGCTATGCAAGCTCTTAAGAAAGAGAATGAAAGGTTGGGCACATTAGTGAAATATGGATGCATGAAGACATACCATTCAAAAGATGCCCTTTACAAGACCATCACCGCTCATCCTAACAAGGATGGACACGGGCTTGGGTTTTCGGGTGGAAGTCCTGTGTCTAAGCGTGTGATGGTAAATGTGAAAGAATGCTTGATGTTTGTGAGAGAAGGAAAAGCACCACAAGCAAGTGAGGTGACTAATCTTGTGAGCAGCCAGGGACCCGGAACATCCAGACAAACCGGCCAAAACCTCCTGGTGGGAGTCTCTGTCTCTCAAAAATTCCCACCAGGAAGTTCCGGCCGGTTTGCCAGGAGGTTCCGGGCCAATGGCCGTGCACAAGACATGACCGGAAGTTCCGGGCATAATGCCAGGAGGTTCCGGCCAGATGGTCTTTACTATGATTCATATGTAATTTCCAAAAATTCAGAGGGCAAAGTGGTTGCTTATTTTAATGGGAATTACAATGATGAGTACCGCACTTGTGTGTGGTTGCCAAAGGCTTTGGTAACTAACATCAAGGACCCAAACTTAGACAAGTTTGGGTTCCTAAATCCCAAGCTTGATTTCTTTTGTAGGCATACTCCTCCGGTGGTTCATGTTGGGTTGTGGACAATGGTTGCACCAATCATATGACTGGAGAGAGGAGTATGTTTACAAGTCTTGATAAGGAGAATGGAACTCGTGAGAATATTGTGTTTGGAGATGATGGTAAAGGGAAGGTAATTGGTCTAGGTAAAATTGCCATCTCCAATAATCAATCTCTCTCTAATGTTCTTCTTGTCAATTCATTAAGCTACAATTTATTATCCATTTCTCAATTATGTAAGTTGGGTTACAATTGCTTGTTTACCGATGAGGATGTGACCGTCTTTAGAAGGGATGACTCCTCCGTAGCATTCAAAGGCAAGTTAAAGGGTGATCTCTATCTTGTCGATTTCGATGTGGATAGAGTGAATCCGGAAGCTTGTTTGATTGCTAAATCCTCCATGGGTTGGCTATGGCATCGTAGACTAGCCCATGTTGGAATGCGGAATTTGGCAACTCTTCTAAAGGGGGAACACATCCTCGGGCTCACTAATGTCACATTTGAGAAAGATCGTGTGTGCAGTGCTTGCCAAGCCGGGAAACAAGTTGGGAATCCACATTCTATCAAGAACATCATGACTACAACATGCCCTTTTGAGCTTCTACATATGGATTTATTCAGGCCCGTGGCTTACATAAGTATTGGAGATAACAAGTATGGTTTTGTCATTGTTGATGATTTTTCACGCTTCACTTGGGTGTATGTTCTCCATGACAAGAGTGAGGCTCAAGATGTCTTCAAGCGCTTTGCCAAGCAAGCCCAAAACCTCTATGATCTTACCATCAAGAGGGTGCGAAGCGACAATGGAGGAGAATTCAAGAACACTCAAGTGGAGGAATTCCTTGATGAAGTGGGAATCAAGCACGAGTTCTCTGCCCCCTATCATCCTCCTCAAAAGATTCGAGATGTCTATGATGGGCGAGTTGACCTTCTTCCTCGGGCTACAAGTGAAGCAAGCACAAGAGGGCACTTTCATCTCTCAAACCAAGTACGTGAAGGACATTCTCAAGAAGTTTGGGATGGAAGATGCCAAACCCATCAAGACTCCTATGCCTACTAATGGCCACCTAGACCTCGACGATAATGGTAAATGTGTGGACCAAAAGGTATATCGCTCCATGATAGGATCTCTCTTTACTTATGTGCATCTCGTCCCGATATCATGCTTAGTGTTTGCATGTGTGCTCGCTTTCAAGCGGAGCCTAAAGAGTGCCATTTGATTGCCGTCAAGAGAATTCTAAGATATTTAGTTCATACTCCTAATCTTGGCTTGTGGTATCCTAAGGGTTGTGACTTTAAGCTTTTGGGCTATTCCGATTCGGATTACGCCGGGTGTAAGGTTGATAGAAAAAGCACAACCGGGACTTGCCAATTTCTTGGGCGGTCCCTTGTTTCTTGGTCCTTCAAGAAGCAAAATTCCATTGCATTATCCACCGCCGAAGCCGAATATGTCGCCGCCGGTTCTTGTTGTGCCCAACTCCTTTGGATGAAACAAACTCTAAAAGTCTTTGGCTACAACTTCACCAAGATCCCACTCCTATGTGACAATGAGAGTGCCATCAAAATAGCCAATAATCCCGTTCAACACTCTCGAACCAAACACATAGATATTCGCCACCACTTTTTGAGAGATCATGAGACCAAAGGAGATATATGCCTTACACATGTGAGAACCGAGAGCCAATTAGCCGACATTTTCACCAAGCCTTTAGATGAGAAAAGATTTTGCGAGCTTAGGAGTGAGTTCAATATCTTAGATTCTCGCAATATTAGGTGATGGGTGGTTGGCTAATTTATAGTCAAACATATGTCACTAAAATGTAAATTAAAAAAAATTGAGCTTTTGTGTCTTGAGATCACTTCTTGTGTAGAAGATGGTCTTGATACCAGGAATAAAGCTCAAACATTCCCCTTTTATCCAAAATCCCTTTTGTGAAATTTTTGCAAAAATTCTTGTGTGTGTTTTTCTTGCGAAAATTTGGTTTTTATCTCCCTCTTGTGATGTATATTGACCATTGTTATGTATTGTTGATTGTTGGTTGGTCATATGCATCATAAGTCCCTTCATGTCCATAGATTTCCATTCCTCTTTTTTATCCCTTTCCCTCCTCTTTGAATTTGGGCCTGTCTGCCCACTGTTTGTCAGGCCGGAAGTTCCGGGCCTCCCTGTCCGGAACCTCCGGGTGTCGGGGAATATTTTTACTCAGGGGGAGTTAGAAACCCTAGTCTCTCTCCTCACTTCTTCTCCCTCCCCGACGCCAGCCCTAGCCGCCGCTACAGTTCCTCTAGTGGTGATTTTCACTTCCATCCGTGGAAACTTGATTCCTCTCCGTGGAATCAACCATAGTACAATGCATAGCCAATCTAACGACTCTAAGAGGAAGTTTAATAGTATCGCCATTGGAGTCTTTATGTCTCGTTACTGAGGACCTCGTTTCGAAAAAATACGCCGTTTGGGAGCTTTACCGGGACTAACTAGTAAAAGACCTAGATCCTGAAGTATCTTTAAAAACCAATTGCGTTCTGGGAAAAGATACAAATTTGTACACATCAGCAATAGATGGTACCAACAGATGTTACGGACTATAACTAGTTGCTAAGCTACATGCCCATGCTTCTCTAAGGAACTGATTTTTATTCTTTTGATCAGACTTGTTTCCCTCGACCCAATCTTGTACGTTTTTTGATAGGCCATGGTCAAGTTATTGGGCAAAAGCTAGGACTGAGAGCTGGTTTGTATAGATCTCCATGACTTGCATCGTTTAATGTACTAGAGCTCGGCGCTTGCATTAGCACCGGCTGCCTTCTCTCTCCGGTTTTCTCTCTCTACGATCTGTTTGTCTGATACAGATGCTTGTATCGCCGACTTACAATATTCTATTATACCCAAGGTTGTCATTATCAGGATCCTAGGTAGTATAGTTTTGCTCAAAGTAGTATTTTATCGTAGGATCAGATACTATGAGATTTTTTTTAAAAGTTTAATTTAATATTTATATTAATTACATATAGCCATTCTATAAAAAATATAGTAATAATATATGTCATACAAATAGAGACACTTATCAAGAGAAAACCACATTGGTTTTATATATTTAACTGATTTTTATATAAACTTGAGCATATTTATTTACATTATTTTTAAATCATCTTATTTTAAATAATATTTTGTAGGATTGTATGGATCGTAGAATCGAAGTACTACTTAAGATTTCGTAGGATCATATATGTCAAGGTTATGGATTCTATATACCCAATAGTAATCGACTAAACTCGGTAAGGTCCACCACATACCATGTCTTATACGGAATCATACCTCGTATATAGAAGGAGTTCCGGGTAAGGAAGGACGAGAAGAGTTCTATATGGAAACGACAAGGACTACTTGGATCGTATCCATATTTATCTCCCTAGTCTTACTTGGACAAGGGGGAATCTATGGATATAAATACAAGCCCCCCTAGGAGGAGAAAAGGACAAACCCACCACAATCTACAAAGCCACAAGCCAATACATCGTCGTATATCGACATCAGAAATTAGCCTAGCCATACCCCATCCAGCACCTACAGGGGCCGGCAAGAGGGATCTAGCACCATCTTTGATCTCGCCGAGTACGCATTCGAGGAGGAAGACTACCATGTCGTCGACTACAAGTTGATTATTTAGCCGTCAGGTCGTCGACGGACAGATAGATTATCCTAGACATTGTATTTATGTGATCCAGATGAATAAAGAGCAACACCGGCTTCGGCCAACAGGATGTAGGGCTATTACCTGTAAGATAAGGGGCACAAACCTGTATAAAAATCCCTGTCTCCATCTCTTTACCTCAATCTCGCATATACCCTGGTACCGACGATCCCCATACCATCTAAATACCGTAGTCGCGATATCAAATGTCGACAATATAGTAATAAATAGTAGAATCAAGATACTATGAAAATTAGGATACTACGTGGGATCGGTATCATTTTGGTTTGGTAAAATCGTAATATTGTAAAATACTACTCCCTCCATCCCAAAAAAAAAGACAAACTCTAGGTTTCCGTGTGCAACGTTTGAATGTCCGTCTTATATGAAATTTTTTTATAATTAGTATTTTCATTGTTGTTAGATGATAAAACATGATTAACACTTTATGCGTGACTTGTCTTTTTATTTTTTTTCATAATTTTTTCAAATAAGACGGACGGTCAAACGTTGGACACGGAAACTTAGGTCTTTTTTAGGATGGAGGGAGTATATAATACATAATACGGATCGAGATTCTGACAACCTTTAGTACACCTGCTCTAACCGATTCTTACCACTCAGGGGGTCTCAAAAATATAAGTCCCTCCCATAGAGACTCACTCACTGAAGCCAACCCTAGTGACTTACCCCTCGTACAGTAGCAGCACACAGCCCCTTTCCTGCCGTTCTCGGCCAAAAATCCCACCACAATCCATCAATCATTCGAACCGCGCGAGATGGCGATGCCGAGATCCATCCCTCCATCCCAACCACTGAAACCACACACACGCTACGCACGTGACACCCGTGCCGCCGCGGGAGATCTGAATTCTGACCCCCCCCCCCACCCCCAGTCTCCCACCACCGGAATCCCCCCTTCCCCCGCCGCTCGCACGTGCCGTAGTAGCGTACTACTCCACTCGTATAACCCCCGCCGCCGCCGCCGCCTCCCTTTCCCCTCTCGCCCAATTTTGCGGGAAACGCCAAGCCCACCACCACACCGCGACTCCGCGAGCGAGAGAGGAGACAAACCCCTCTCCACCTCCCCCCAAAACCCTAACCCCTCCTCCTCCCACCTCCCGCCACGCCACCATGGCCTCGCCCCCGCCGCCGCCGCCCTCCGCCGCCGCCCCCGGATCGCCGCCGTCGGCGCAAGTGGTAAGCGCGCGCCTCTACTCCTCCTGATCCGCCGCTTGATCCGGGCGCTTGACTCAGATTCGTTTCGCGCGCGCGCAGGTGGGGAACGCGTTCGTGCACCAGTACTACAACATCCTGCACCAGTCGCCGGATCTCGTCCACCGCTTCTACCAGGACGGGAGCCGCATCGGCCGCCCCGCCTCCCCCGCCGCCGCCGAGATGGACACCGTCACCACCATGGAGGTCTCTCTCTCTTCCATTCCGGCCTCAGATCTGGGCCTCCCCGTGGCCGAGTGATGGTTTTCGGGGGAGGGGGATTTGAACTGTTTGTTGTTGTTGTTGTTGTAGGCGATTAACGCGAAGATCGTGTCCATGGACATCGTGCGGGCGGAGATCAAGGCGGTGGACGCGCAGGAGTCGCTGGGCGGGGGCGTCACGGTGCTCGTCACGGGCCACCTCACCGGGAGCGACGACGTGCGCAGGGAGTTCTCGCAGTCCTTCTTCCTCGCGCCGCAGGAGAAGGGATACTTCGTGCTCAACGACATCCTGCGCTACGTCGGGGGGGAGGGGGATCAGGAGGTGGAGCCGGAGCCGGAGCTGGAGCTGTCGTTTCCGCCGTCGCAGCAGCCGGATTCGGTGCCTGCTCCTTCGGCGAATGGCACTAGCGTGCCGCGGGAACAGGGTGTGTGGTGTGGTGTGGAGGAGCATTTTCAGGGCTGTTTCTTTGCTGCGAGCTTATGGTCAAACTGATTGTGTTTGCCCTTTTGTAGAGGCCTTCTCGCAGCCGGAGCAGCATGTGGCTGATCCTGCACCCAATGCTCAGGAGGCTGATCTCAACGGCGAGGAGGTTTATAACCCACCGAACAACACAGAGGGGCCTGTTGTGGAGGAAACGCCGATTCCTGAAGTTATAGATGAAGTGCCAAATAACGTAGCTGTGGCTATGCCGACTCCGCCTGCCCCTGCCCCTGCCCCTGTACCACAAGAGGAGGCCCCCAAGAAGTCGTATGCTTCAATTGTAAGTTTTTGAACGCTGTTTGTCTTTCATCCACCGAGCTGAAAGTCACCTGTCCTGGTTGATATTAGAACTTTGCATTTTTTAATGCTTCTGAATGTGATCATGGGAATTGGGAGGAGATATGCATTTTTCATTCCTTCATGGAGTTCTGCATGTGTTCCAACCTCGAGCAAACATGCATAAGTAATTGCTAGGATTTTTCTAGGTGCATGATGCCTTTTAATTTCTGATGTGTAAAGCTTCAAATGAAGCTTCCAGTTCTGAATTTTAAATGGCACTGGCACATAAATTCAGCTGCAAATGTTAATAATGCACTGCACAATAAATATGCAATTCAGCTGCAAATGTTAATAATGCAATGCACAATAGAAATGCAATTTAGCTGCAAATGTTAATAATGCACTTCGCAATACATATGCATGGGAATATCATTTTGGTAATTGGGTAATGGGAATTGTTCTATGAAATTGAAATGTTAATTCTTGATGTCATGATTATCTAGTTTCAATACAAGTAGCAACTTAGGTGGAAGAATTTTTGAAGCTAGTTGGTGGCTATGATCTAATTGGGTAACATGTAGTTACGTTGCATGTTAACATTTTTACATTTGAGTACTACCTTGTAAGATTGTCACTTGCATTTTTTGTGTGATCTAGGTCAAAGTCATGAAAGAAATTCCACCACAAATATCTGCAATTCCTTCCAGGCCGGCACCACCAAAACAAGAGAAGCAAGTTGCTCCTGCACCTGTTGCTCCGGTTGCTGATGCTCCAACTTTCAGTCCTAATCCTGAAAGCAGCAACATTCAAGAGGCTGAAGGTATTTTCTAGATTCAAACTCGCAGTTAAAATCTTTTTTGTACCATTGGTGTCTGACTGAAATGTTTTACAATCATTTTCAAAGTTGATGCACATGCGATATATGTACGGAATCTGCCTTTAAGTGCCACGCCTGAACAATTAGAAGAAGCATTCAAGAAATTTGGCGCTATCAAGCCGGACGGAATCCAAGTTAGAAGTCACAAGGTACTTTTTTTTTATAGTCTTACATAATGATAGAGCTCTAAGTGAGTCCTAATGCCAACTATTTGTCTTTGTATTTCCATTTGAAAACACAGATTCAAGGGTTCTGCTATGGGTTTGTAGAGTTTGAAGATCCCAGTTCAGTTCAAAGTGCAATTGCGGTAATTCCATCTTACTAATCTCATTGTTCTGTGATATTGAAGAATGCTCATCATCATTTATTTCATTTAGTTATGAGTGACTTGTTGCAGAATGTGTATTTTGGTGTTAATTGCATTACATATGTGACTAAAGAGTTGCAGTAAGTTTGTTTGGCAGGGGTTCTAAGTTTTTTTTTTTGGGAGGGGTTAGATGTTTGTGAGGGCATATATAAACATGATATATCATTCTTTTAATCTTTTTCTTGTATGACTGTTATTTGCTCATCTTTTAGCAGGCAGAACTAAGAGAAGTATATGCAATGATATTGTTATTTCTAGTTAATTAGGTTTTGAACTACTAGTATTTATAATTTACATTCTAACTTACCACACAACACTATGGTTAGTTTTTCTTTTTCCAAATTACAATTTGACTATGCCTCGTCAAATTTTCCTGGTTTTAGAGGTATAACGGAATATATAAAAGAAATACTTTCCATGCTAAGCTAAATTAACCCTTGTTTTCCTGAATCACTAGAGTCAACCCTCCCTATATATCTGATATTTTCTCATAAAGTGTACAGTGCTTGTTGTCCTAGCCATCAACCTTTTTCCTTTCCTTTTTTTGGTGGTAGCCTGATGCTGCTAAGCAACCTTTAGCCCGCTGCTGTCTGCTCAGTTGGTGGAATCAATGCCATTGGAATGATAGCTGTCCGTTGTTATTTGCTCGTAGGCCTTAGACTTGTGCTGCCTTGAGTTTATGATCCCAGTGGTTCTGGAACGTGGATAGCTTTTATTCCCCCTACCCTCCGGCCCCATATATTTTTAAAGCACGGAGGCATTCATGGATTTGGTTTAGTGTTTAAAGCTTTTATGATCCTTTGTGTGTAACAGTTGCCATAATTTAACCAGCAAATGTGGAGCTGGGAGGAATGATTATCGTATTCTCAATACCTTAACACAGGCATGCCAGCACTGTTGGAAAGGAATGTTGTATTTTCTTGACTGTTCCATTTAGAAAGTTAAGACTATCAATGTGCGAGAGAAATATATATATAGTTCTGATTCTTTGATTTGACAATACATTTTAGTGATGCTGATAATTTGACCATGTGTTAACTGACAATGTAAATGGAGATTTATGTACAAGGGAGAGAATACACAAATCTCCACCAAGGAGCAAAACTACACTCGCGCTAGTTAAGAATGCAATTGCAACTGCTTTCTGTCATTCTTTGCTCGGAAGTGTTTTTTTTAGTGTTGGAACTTAACTTCTTCACAAGCATAAGTCATATGTACTATTACTGATGTTAGAAAAAACACTACCTTGATACATTTTCTTATCTAATGATGAATCAGCTTTAACAAGACTACAAGTGCTGATGCGAATACCAAAAGGAGATCATGATAAGTGCAGTCAACTGTTTTTTTATCTGACAAACTCTTTACTCTGCAGGGTTCTCCTGTGACGATTAGTGACCGGCAATGTTATGTGGAGGAAAAGAGAACTGCTGGTTCACGTGGTAAGTTCAGAAAGCATTACAATGTATATCTTGAATATAAGTAGCACATGATTCCATTTGGATTTTATGGAAGAAATTCCGGATACGTTTCTATCTGCTGTTGAATTGGCACTTGTGACAATTGAATATTTGACGTTGCTCACCTTTCATTCAAATTGCATTCGTTTGATCAGAGATGTGTTCTGTTTGTTTGTGCTCGCATTTATTATTACAAATAATGTCTTCTGCCTATCAGAGTCGATACACATTGCTTCTCCTGGTTGTATGCTCGTAAATTTCTGATTCAAGAGCAAAACCAAATTGCTGAACATCGAAGTTTTTCTGTGGAACCATTTGTATGTTGCATTTCATCGTATCAAATTTTATCACGTGCTATGGCAAAAATATACTTGTCTATCTGCCTCCCTATTTTGTTTTTTTGTCTTCCTTTTCTGTTAAGTCAACATGTCCTATTTCTGGTTTCAGGTGGTGGCAGAGGAAGGTTTGCTCCTGGTAGAGGTGGTAACTTCCGAGGTGAAGGCATGAGAGGCCGCGGGAATTACACCGGAGGGAGGGGCTATGGAAGGGGTGAGTTCAATTATCGATCCGACTATGGAGGCAGAGGCGCTGGTAGAGGTGGTTCATCACGTGGTGGTGATGTTGGCTACCAGCGGGTTGACCACTCTGCTGGTCGTGCTGCTCGGGCGCCATCGGGCACTAGTGCCGTTGCAAAGTGAGCGAGTTAGTTGCTATGCCTCGGTTGCTATGCGTCGGTGAAAAAGTTTGATATTTTCGTGGGTTGGAATTATCAACATTCGGGAAGAGGGTATGTGTTGAGTTGGGTTTATGTGAGAGATTATCAGCAAAAATCGGGTCATAAATTGAAGCTTCCCTTGTTTTGTGGCAAGGGAGAGCAGTGGTGATATTGGTTTACTAATTGTAGCATATACGTCTATTCAGAATTTCAGATGTAGTCCTGGTAAGCTTGGCCCTTTTTGGAGTACCTGATGTTTGTTTTTCCCCCTCTTTTTGTCCCTCTTTTCTAGCAGGATCGATTCTATTACGAATGAGAGGTGATGAGTTATAGATTCCAAAATTTGCATGGGAGTTCTTTTTTGTTTGTGATTTGTCAGTGCAATGGTGGTTAGTGTTCGCTAGGGCCTGTGCATAAGAGCAGCTGCTAGTTGGTAACAGTGAAAAGTAACATGCAAAAGGATCAACAGAAGCAGAAGTAATCTCGATATATAATGCCCTCAGATTTACAGCTCCTAAATTCTTCAAAACGCAGAAGAGAGAAACAAATCTCGAGTATATATCATCACCAAGTCATATCATCAAACTAAACAGATGCCAAACTGACTAGTATTCCCTATTCTGTATTGTTATGTTCCAACCAATGTAAGTTTCCACCCACGAACAAACAAGAACAACCGAACATGCCAACATGATACTATCACCCTTCCATCTCAACGACTATCTTGCCGGTGGCGTGGCCGTCGATGCTCTTCTGCCACGCCTTCGCCGCGTCGCCCAGCGGGAACCTCGAGTCCACCACCGTCCTGAGCTTCCCTTCCCCCACCAGCCCGACCAAGAACTCCAGGTCGGCCTTGTTCGGCGACAGCAGCAGCGGCACCAGCCGCTTCCGCCGCAGCGTCACCGCGTGCAGCGCCGAGGTGAGCATGGCTGAGAAGTTGGGCGTGATGTCGATCACCTTCCCGCGGGGCGCCATCAGCGGCTCGAACGCCGGCCACCCGACGCCGACGGTGCAGTGCACGACGCCGTCGTACCTCCTCCCCGAGGGGCTGCGCATGGCGGCGCCCTCGGGCGTCCGGTAGTCCAGCACCTCGTCGGCGCCCAGGCCCCTCACGAGCTCCGCGTTGCGGGCGCCGCAGGTGGCCGTCACGTGGAGGTTCGCCAGCTTGGCCAGCTGCACGGCGTAGAGGCCCACGCCGCCCGAGGCGGCGGTGACCAGCACGTTCAGCGGCTCGCCGGTGCCGTCGAACTTGGCGCCGATGGACCTCAGCGCCTGCAGCGCCGTGCCCGCCGCGATGGGCAGCCCGGCGCCCTCGGCCGCTGAGACGTTGGGTGTCCTCTTGACGGTCAGGTTCGCTGCCGCCACGGCGTACTCTGCCAATCCACCTCCGTTCTGTTGCAACAGGAGGGATATTCAGATATTGGTTAACCTTAAAATTGAGATGTACTCCAAGATAGGATTGGACTGACAATGATGTGTTTATTTTCATGATATAGTTAAGTGTTTTTTTTTTTTTGCAGGGCATGATATTGTTAAGTTGAAATGGCAAACCAAAAAACATGACACAGGAGTGGAAAGAACTTACCATACTGTTCAACATAGCGACAACTTGATCACCTACTGCGAAATCATTCACTCCGGGACCAACACCAGCAACCACTCCTGCAACATCGGTCACTGCAAAATAGATCACAGAGATGCAGCTATTAGCATATGTTTTACTGGCATAGGTGCCGGAAGAAAGACATGCCTAAAATGTTTTACTCTCTCATCATGTCTAAAATGTTTTACTCTGTCAGATATGCTTAATTCAGTTGTGGGCTGTGTACATCCATTGTGGATATAGAGGCCGGATTTTAATCCATTTTCTAAAAAAAAAGCTTAATTCAGTTGTATCACACATATGAACAAAACATGCAAGAAAAATCATAATTTACTCTGTCATCTGAGAATTAATACTAAAACTAAGTTTATTTCTGTGAATCTTTGATAACAGAAAATACTTGGTGTGTTCTAGAATCTACATAGAGCATCAGTATCGCCAACAATAAATATACAAGACAAATTTAGTGAAATGTCAGTTCAGTGGTAATGCTAGATGTTTCAGTTTGTGGTAATAGTTGGTCCTGCGCCCGTGTCTCCATCCTGAATTCTGTATATGAAAAGATATGTGGTCTCTCCATCCCCTCACAGATTTCTAATTCCCAACCCAGCCGACTTAAATTTGATTGTACTCCTCAGAAGAAAAGATGGAAAAATTCCACCATATCTCCCTGTTGCGTACGATTAGCCAGCCTTGCGGCGGCAAAAGGTACATATGAAGAAGATATAGAAAGATAAGTGTTTATGATTCCGCAGCAAGAATATGTAATTTACCTGGGATAAAAGGCAGTCTACGAGGCAGCAGAGGACGCAGCATCCCTTTCTGAATCTTCCAGTCAACTGGATTGATGGTCGCTGCCTCCAGCTTCAACAGCACCTCGTTCTTCTTTGCCGAAGGGACCGGGACTTCAACATGCTGCACAAGGAGGAGTATCATCACATAATTTGTTCACAAATCTCTTTAAAGAAATGTAGAAACACAGAATAAGAAGCAAAGTGTTGGGTGAGTGCGCTCATGCAGGGTCTGATCTCTACAGTTCAGCCTTAAATTAGGCTTGTTTTTGGAAAGAGTTGGGTCACTCAGTCAATGACACACACAACAATGGTCTGCACCATTAGTTCCAAAATAAATTTACTTAGTTTCATCTATATTCATGTAAAAAAAGTTAACTTATTTTGTGATGGAGGGTGTTGCTGCCAAGTTGACTCCTGCACTCTAGTTTAATAGACTAGATTATTACTATATAATTTGGTGCAGGTCTTGGGACAAAGAAAAACTTGGTTCGATTTGAAAGTGACATGGAATTTAGAACAGGAGAATCATCAGACATCTAGTACTAATCGTCAAGCAGGATATCATAGGCCGACTCTCTGTAATCCTGTAGGCTCTTAAACGGTTAAACCCATGAGCATAACAATCATAAAAAAAACAAATCTCTATCTGAGCACATAAGCACATAACCAGATGAACCGATATGGACTTTTAATCAATGGGGTGTGACCGTGTTACACAGAGCACAAACGAATTAAGAAAAGAGTAGCAAAACAAATAATATCAATCATCTGGCCATACTGCTGAGGCTATCATCGTTTGGCCAATCGCTGATAATACGTCAAACGGCGTATTAGCAAAACTTTCATAATAACTTAAATACTAACGTTGAAAAAGAAACCACGATAAATAAATAAAAACCTGAAAATCAACTCCGAAATTAAGCTTTGAGATTCAAATTTTAGCATTGGATATAAGTTGTAGGGCATGAACTCATCGCCCGACCAGAGTGTACCGCCTCGAACACTCCGCCTCAACGAAATTAATTACTACTACTACGGTACTACCACTAGCAGCAGAGCAGAAAAAGAAAAGGAAGCGCAGAGAGAGAGAGAGCAGTGTGGCGGAGGGCGTTGCTCACCTTGAGCCCGGCGGCTCCCCCGCCGCTGGCGTCGTACTGCACGGCGCGCATCATCGCCGGCGGCGTCGCGGCGGCTCCGGCCATGGTGGGGAATCGAGAGAGGAGGGGAAGCGGAGAGACGAGACGAGGAGCGGAGAGGAGAGGGGGGAAAGACGAAAATCTCGCCGGAAGAGAGCGAGAGAATCTCGTCTCGTTTTTCTTCAGGTGGGGGGATTCGCTGCGGTTGAAGCCTCTGGAACACACGTGTGTTGTTGGTTACTACGCCTTCGTGTGGTACGCGCGTATATATACGCGTAATGAATAATTTCCTCGTGTGTGTGACGCGTATTACTAATGTGGACGGACTCGTGTCCAGATTCGTAGGGATATATGAGGGGCCGGCGTACGTACGCGTCGAGGGATCTCCTGGGTTTCGAGGGAGGGACGCGTCGTGTGGCGTGGGCCCACGCTGTCGGCGAGGGTGGGTGGGTTGCTTCTGCTTGTGTTGTGCGGCGTGTGTGGGATGATGATCTAGAAGGTACGAGTAGGACGGAGACGAGGGCGTCACACGTGACATGATGCGGCGCGTCGGCCCGGCCCGGCCCAATAAAATAAATGATAATTATATAAATCTTGAATAAGACGAATGGTTAAACTTTAGACAAAAAAGTCAACGGTGTCATACATTAAAATAGGCTCCCTCTGTCCCTTTGGTACCATTTTCAACCATATCATTTTTTGGTAAAGTTGCCAAAAAAATATCTACATTTAGTTTATTGCTAAATTTGGTAAATACGTAAAAAATCATGCCAAAATTTTGATAATTATATCATCTTGCTAAAATTTTGGCATTGCCAAAATTTGGTAAAGTTTATTTTAGCTACAATCGTCCTAAATGTTTTATGCCGTTGACTTTTTTAAACATATTTTGTTTTATTTGTAAAAAATTAAGTAAATATTAAATCTTTTCCTATCATTTGATTCATTGTTAAATATACTTTTATATATACATATAGTTTTACATATTTCACAAAAGTTTTTGAATAAGACGAACGGTCAAACATATTTAAAAATGTTAACGGCGTCAAAGATGGAGGCACTCCCTCATAAGGTCTTTGTTTGATTAATTCCATCCACGATAAGATTAAGGAAAATGTGAAATTAATCTTCTCAATCATCCTCCAGTATCTTCACTAAGTGACTTCCATGATTTTAGTTGTAGGACTCACACGAAGTCACTTTTGGGGAATACAATTTAAAAATACGATTATTTATCAGGAGACACCTCACACATTAAGTTAGTATTTTTGTGCTACCGAGGCGATAGGGGACTCACCTTTTCACATGACGTGATCAAATAGCACCTGTGTGACCAAAGTTATTTCTTATTTGGGTTTAAATTTTGGTGAAATACAAATTTCATTGAAGTTAATTACAAATTTATTTAAAAATTTCAAATTTCATTTTAAAATATTTGGTTAAATAATTCTATCGCTGTTGTTTTTCTTTTTAACAACTGAAGATATTCTCAAGTTATCAATTGTTTTTTCTATCACTGAGCTACCACAAGCGTGAGAGAGGGCAATACCGCAATACAATCACCTTTAAAGAAAACTAATACTCAACTAACAGAGGAGCATTTAAAGATTAAGGTAAAATTCGTGAAATTGAAGAGATTGAGGAAATTGTTTGTGCACGTTGAGAATTTTCACTTAATAACATGAGTCACTCTGTGAAATGAAGGCGATGATCTTGTATTAGAGAAAAATAAATTAGGGTGTGCTCGTTTGAAGCATAAGAGATAGAAAAGTCAGTTCGTTTTCTATGCGCACACTTCTCAAACTTCAATGGTGCATTTTTTTTAAAATCTACATAAAATTACTTAAAAATCATATTAATTTATTTTTAAGTTTTAAATAATTAATATTAATTAATTATGCGCTAATGGCTAACTTTGTTTTGCGCATCTTCTCAATCTTCTTCTTTCCCCTCCTATTGAATACACCCTTAGGCCAAGTTTGAGGAGAGGGAAGAGAAGATTGAGAAGATATGGAAAACGAGGTGAATCATTAGTGCATGATTAATTGAGTATTAACTATTTTAAACTTTTTAAAATGGATTAATATGATTTTTAAAGCAAATTTTATATAGATTTTTTTTTCAAAAAACATAATACCGTTTAGTAGTTAGGAAGCGTACGCGCGGAAAACGAAAAAAAACAAACTCACTGTACCTCCACGTAGTGCACATACTGTTCATGAATGCTGAACCGATGAAATTAAGGCTTTATGGTATAAGTGCATGTTTGGAAGAGCTTAAGATTTTTATAAGCAGCCGGTTGATAGCCAATTCATAAGAATCTAAAAAAGCTAGGTTCACAGCTTCTGTCTTTTAGTTCATTTTCTTTATTCCGCAACTACAGCTTCTTATAATATGGTTGAAAAGCTAGACTGTTTGCATGGGCAGAACTAGAACAAAATGGAGGAGAGAGCCACTCGCTTACTTTACTCTGCTTTGGATGGAGTTTAAACTAATACGGGTGCCTACTCACTCCGTCCCATAAAAAATCAAGCTAGTACAAGATGCGACATATTCTAGTACTACGAATATGGACATACCTCTGTCCAGATTCATTGTACTAGAATATGTCACATTCAGTCATAGATTCGATTTTTTCGGATGGAGGGAGTAAGTTTACACTGAAGGGTTGCATATATAGTGAAAATATATGAATTATAGCTAAAAACTTTTCTTGACCAGGTTTCTGAGCAACCTCTCTTGAACTATAGCTTCACCCTACTGTTTGGGGAGCTTCTGATTTTGGAAGAAGTTGTAGCTGCCAAAAGCTTCTCAAACAAGCTCTAAGAATGGATCTGTCATAACAAAGTTTCATAAATACTTTCCAAAATTTTCCCCTGCTTTTTGTAAAAGGGAGTTACAACGATAGATAACAATTATTTGGAGCTACTGCAAACTCATTTGTACCTTTAACCAATGAACAGATAAACAATTCTAACAAAGTTAGATCATCAAAATGAACTTATACACTTGTTATCTTATTATCTACTTCCTCCATCCTGAAATATGTTCATTTTTCATACATGCCATACATACTATACAAAACTAAAATAACCAGAATACCCCTAGCTAATTTATCAAATTCTCACTTTTAACTACTCCCAATACAATCACACTCTACTTTCACAAATTCCGATGCAATGAATTTATTTTGGAACAAATGGGAGGAGGTAAAAATGAACTTATTACGAGATGGAGGGAGCAACTACTACTCCCTCCGTCCCAACTCCCAAAATATAACAACTTTTAGCACACAGGATTTGTCATAAAATATAATAATTTCTTCACAAACATTCTCTTCACAACCAATCGCAACCCTCCACCATTCATTTTTCTCATCTGTCTCTACTTCTCAACTAATCATAATCTCTCACTATTTAATCTATCTACTTTCTTAATAACCATGTCCGACGCTAAAACTTTCTACTACCTCCGTCCCAAAATAAGTGCAGCCGTGGAATTCCATGTCTAACGTTTGACTGTTCGTCTTATTTGAACAATTTATAATTTTTTTTAAAAAAAATAGTCACACATAAAATTCTATTTATGTTTTATTATCTAATAATAATAAAAATACTAATCATAAACAGAGGAAGTATCTACTATATATATTCTAGGACGAAGGTAGTAGTGCTTTACATGCTCAAAAACATATGCATATGAGCAGCAACAAGTAGCGAACATGAGCCTAAGGGAGAGTTGAGAGAGGGAAAGGAGAACATATGTAAAACAAGATGAGTAATTAGCACATGATTAAATAAGTATTAATTATTTAAAACTTAGAAAAAATATATTAATATGATTTTTAAGAAACTTTCATATAGTTTTTTTTAAAACACACACTGATCAGTTATTTATTAGTTTGTAAATCATATGTGCGTAAAACAAGACAAATCTTCTCCCTTCCCATCCTACTAGAGTAGGAGTTATATGCCTGTGCATTGCAATGGATTTATACCATTAGAAATAGTTTATGTCTGGGATGTGGATATGACACAAAACAGAACCTTTTTATCCAACCATTTTTTTTATAGTAATGTACCCTTCACAATGGACCCGTACCATCAAAAATAGGCTAGAACTATAATATGTGGATTAGTATAAGTAGGAACTATTTTTATCCAACCAGGTTTTCTCTTTTCCGATTTCCTTAGTAAATTTCTTGTTTTTTCTCCCTTTTTTTCCCCTTATAGCGAATTTAATTTTTTTTCTATCCAATCAATTTTCGGAACTTTCTGATTTTCTTAGCGATTTTTTTACACGGTTCATGCAGGAACCATTTTCCTCCATTTTTTCTGCTTTTCTTAGCCTAAGAATCTTAGGGATTTTTTTTTTTTGCGGAGTGCAGTGACCATTTTCTCTATGGTTCTTTTTAGCGCGAGGGTGGAGGCGCTGGGATGAGAATGATTTTGTTTGTTTCATTGCAGCAGAGAAACGAACTCGACCATGTTTCCTTAGCCGATTCAGTTGGAATTTCCCGGTGCCTACTCTTCCTAATAGGTCCCATACAGAACTGTTTGCTTATAGGCAACCTATCATGAATCATATTGAACTCTTCGTATCACCATTGTAAATTTGTAGTTAGTTTGTAGTGATATGCGAAAAGTTTCATTTATAGAACAATTTGCTACTACAACATGCATATGGTTATTGAGATGCTTTATCTTTTGTCGCTGGGATATCCACTTAGGTATATATAGAGAGATGAACCACGCATTAATGTTACACCAATTTATCAACATTTCTTAAAACAACGACTTATATATATAGTTATATTGTCGAGTATCTATTGATGTGCAAGCACATGGCTTTCGAAAAACCACCCTGTCTAAATTTCTTTAATTTGAATGTTCCACAATAGTAAAATCAATTATGATATAATATCTCTACATATCCTCCAATTTAATGACCGGTTGTACAAATGGAATGGACGGCTTCCATGATGGACTTCTGCACATTGGCCCTTCAGAACTCTATTTGCTTTTCGACAAAATTTCTTTTGAATCTTGTGATTTGCCAAAGGACCAACAGAAGGGGAAAACATTTGAGAAGAGATATGCCCATATATCACTACTACACAACCGATTTTTGCATGCGGCTAATATGATTTTTGCGTGCGGGTGGGCGGCCCGCACGTGCCAAGGGGTCTGGGAAAATCACGATTTTCGCGTGCGGGTGCCTCACCCACACACGAAAATTGGATTTTTGCGT